GAGGAGGGCGAGGGGGGGCGGGAAGGAGCCGGCGGTGGACGCGGCCCCGGGGCCCAGCGCCGCGTTCCGCCTCCTGGTGACTCGGCGGGAGCCGGCCGTGAAGCTGCAGTATGCGGTGAGCGGCCTGGAGCCGCTGGCGTGGTCCGAGGACCACCGCGTGTCCGTGTCCACGGCCCGCAGCATCGCTGTGCTGGAGCTCATCTGCGACGTGCACAACCCGGGCCAGGACCTGGTTATCCACCGCACGTCGGTGCCCGCGCCTCTCAACAGCTGCCTCCTCAAAGTAAGTCAGCCCTGGGCTTCAGCCCCGGGGTCTCTCGTCACTCCCGGGGCCGCGTCACAGGTCCCTGGGGAATCCCGGCCCACGCCTAGTTCGGGGATTCCCCCTCCTCGCGCCCGGCGCTTAGAGCTAAGTGGTTAGGGTCGCCTTAGCTTAAAAATCAAACAAAAAACCTTCTGGCCGTTTGTTCCCAGTTTCCCAGATCACCCGCCCGGACACACGTATATTTCGGGAGGTCCCTCTCGGAGCCAGGTTCTTCCCTCGCCCCGGCGTCTGGCTGGCTGCTGGCACAGATTTGTTGCCTTGGTGCTTTCTGAGGCTCCACCCACTGTTGACCCAACCCCAGACCTGCCTCTGCCGTTGCTCCTATTGTCTGGGGCTTGCTCCCCGAGGCCCTTGGCTGGCTTTGTTTACTGTGATGTGCCCTCTTCTTGCGCTTCTTACACTTTGAAGAAAAAAAAAAATTGGTCCTTTCCGTTGTCTTAACAACAACTTTTTAATGAATAGTCCTTGCTTCTCATCTTGGGCAGACGGATAAATACTGGAGGTCCGTGTTAGTACTCCAGTTTTTCTTCAATAACTAAAAATCTTTGTAGAATGAAAAATAAAGCCTCTGGAAGTACGTGCAGTTCTTAAACTTTAAGCCCAAGATCTCCATGTAGATTTAGTGCTTTCAGCTTCATATTAGCGAAGTTTGCCTTCAGAACTTAAGGGTTCTTAAAGTTTTATTGTTTTATTATCGCCATTTTCAAATTCTTTTGAGTAGTAAGTTGTATTGTTCATTTTAGTGGCTTAAATGTGTAAAAACTTCACTTAAAATTTCCTTTGTAGATCGGTATGCATCTCTGTGACTATCGAAGGGTATATTCATTCTTTCAACACATATTTGAATACCACTGTGTTATCAGCCAGGCACCAACCTAGGTTCTGGAAATAGAGCATTGTACAAAACAAAGTCCTTGTCCTCATGAAGCTTGCATTCTTTTGGCAAGTCACGAGCAAATAACAATGTGATATCAGGTAGTGATAAGCACTGTAAATATATGTATCTGTGTACAGAGAACGTGTCTGTGAAAGTGAAGTTAAAAAAAAACTCTTAGTCTGCACAGCCATTTAAGATATGGATTATTAACTGTGGGTAGGGTGCAAGGAACCCACACCACTTTTTAGCATACATACTTATTCACGTTTTAAACTGACAATTTGATGTTGAGTTAGATCATTGATAAACTTGTTTGACCTGCGCCCTCTAAGATCTTGGACAAGATGTGAACAACTTGATTCAAGTAAAAACAAATCAGATGGCCAGATGTTGGTAATGCTATGAAACTGAGAAACACTCAAGGAGGGAGGCAGAACAAAGGGGTTTTAAAAGGTCTGTCCTCTGCTGGAAAGGAACTTACTGCTGCTAAGGATGTTCATATGACACATCAGCTAGAGAACATTTTAAGTGTATCTCGATATAGTAAAGATTTAATACTGTAGCAGAGAGAATTTAAAGAAAGAAAGGAATAGTGAGGTGGTGTTTATCAGGTAAGGTTATTTGGTGGTGACTCTGCAGCAGACCTAAAAAAAGGTCGGATTTGGGTTGTAAGAGGAAGGGAGGAGAGGGTCATCCATATGGCAGGAGTGGGATGCTCATCTCATGCACATACATGTAAGTCAGGAACGTTAACCTGCTGTTGTTTTGTGTAAATAATGATGGATCAACAGGTGAGTCTCTTCTAGAGAGTCAGAGAAAGGAAGGTGAGGCCGATTTGGGAACTTTGAAGGTCAGTCTGAGGAGGCTGGCTTCAATCTTGGAAGCCCTAAAGTGCTGTTACAGTATCCTAAACACGGACTGACCTGGTATGTATGGGTCAGGAGTATGAATCTGGCTGCACTAGAGGCAAGAACATGATTGTTGGAATCAATATAAAACAGGGTTAAGAGATTGGGCTTTGGCAACAGATAGCAAGATAAGCCTATTTTTAAAAGGACGATAATAAATTCTATAAATAGAGGATAAAAAAATCTCTTGATGAGAATTTTTGGAAGAATAAGTTAAACACATGTACTTATATGTGTACATACCTATACACATGTACACATGTATAGTCAGTACAGTTCCTGGCAGCCCGTAAATGCTCGAGTTAAAAAATAGTCATGCAAGTATGAAGGAGGGAGTCTGGAGTAATGCTCTGGCTATGAACATAAAGATATCTGTTGTACTGTATTCTGATAAAAATTTGACTCTGTCATTGGTTCCACAACTGGCAAATGAGTAGTAGGAAATCTTTATATATTCCTCTAATAATTGGTGGCTTTCCTGTAATTAAGTAGTGGCATCTTCCCCTTCTGTACTGATTTTTGGTATTTGCCTCACACAAACCATCTATCAGTTAGCAGTCTTATTAAACTAACTGTGCCTGGTGAGTGAATGCTGAGTTGTCCCTGCAATTCTAAAAGAGGCCTCTGTGGGAGAAAACTGGAGTAATGGTAGGAATGTAAAGAAGTCTGTATCTGTAGTTTGATGTCACTGCCCATTGACAATCCCTAGGGATTTAGTTCCACTCAGTACTGTCCAGCTTGCCTTTGCTCTAACACAAAACATGGACATTCTGCCACCTAGATCACAGTTTTAGTGCATACAGCTACGAGAATGCTAGATGTTAAATCTCTTTGAAGCTTTTGCTCCATGATTGTTACTTAGATTATGAATTTCTTAAGAAAAATGCACCGTTAAATAATAATTCAAATATTATGTTACTTGCAAGTTACTGTTCAGGGTACTGAGGTTATGATATAAAGGTGAATGATATAAATCTGAAAAGCAATAAAATGGTGATTTAAGAAAAAGTTGCAATTTCTCTTCCCATTAGACTGCTGACTTAGTGAATCATATAATTGTATACAGTTAGAAATTCTAATAATATATGCATAACTAATTTTATTTGTATCAATTGTTAGGAACGTTAGCAATATTAACTCCATCTGCTACATTAAGTTAAATAACTATTGCCTGTCTTTGGAATCATATTCCTGGCCTAAAGAAGCTTACTATCTAATAACTTCAAATGAGTTTTTATATATTAGATGCTCAGTCAGTTCATAGCTATTAGTTGTAGTAGTAGCCAGCTGGAAACAGGGTAGTGCATAATTAAATGATTGGCTGGGGGCTGGCCTCTGGGAGCTGGACTCACTAGTGTGCTCCCTGGACATCTGAGTTCTTGTTTTGATTTGTTAACTAGTTTTGTGATATGGAGAGTTGGGGTGAGGTGCAGTAGGGTAATTCAAACTACCTAAGATACTAGAAATTACTGCACAAACCCTAAGGATTTTCCCTACTGGTCGACATCCACGCTGCTCTCCATCCTATCAAGGATTCGTCCTGCAATGAGTAGGACAAGGCGTGAGCTTCATTTCATCCTATGCTGCTGTTTGGGGTTACGCATTCTGTACGTTGACATCCAGTTCTGTAGAAGCTTTCATTGTAGAGGATTATCCCAGTCTGAGGATTATTGCTTAGTTTACAGCATTACAGGATTTGGTGAACAGTTTTATATCTACCCTTCATTTGGTGGACAGCTTAATTCCTGTCTATCCTGCATTGTACATATTTTTATTAGGTCTCATTAACATTTACTTAATCCTCAGAGAGTATTAATAATTGTCATCATAGCTAACATTTATTGAGTGTTTATTAATATATGCTTTACATATATTGACTTAATTAACCTTCCTACTTCTGTGAGACATGTATTATTATTCCCTTGATAAATTAGGAAATTAAAACCCAGAAGGTTTAAACAGTTTGCTCAGGGTCACAGAGCTAGAGTGTGATAGAGCCAGGGTTTGAACCCAGGCAGTCTGGCATCATAACACAGATTTTCAGTCAAATTTTATCTACGCATACAAAGCTCTGGGCTTTGATTAGTATTGTTTTATTAACAGGCTAGGCAGCAACACCTCTATTTAATTGGAATTTCCAGGTTGTATTTCTCCAGCATGTCCAAGAGACCACCTTAAATGCCTTTCTAAAATCAATATACTATTGTGCTGAGCACTGGAATTTGACACAACATTGCAAAATGATTATAAATCAATAAAAAATGTTAAAAAATAAAAAATAAAAAAATATAAGATCGATATACTGCTTAAGACAGCACTTCCAGAATATTATTTAGGATAATAAAAGATGACCCCCCCCAAAAGGTTCTATTTTTAAAAAATAACTTAACTCTTCAAGTATAACTGTAAGGATAACTCTGATGTAAGCCTCTACAGTAGTTCCCTGGCTCTAACTCTTGAAAGGGGAATAATGTATAATATATAACATTTCCAAAATTTATTTGGTTACAGAACTCTTTCAACGGACAGTTTAGGGGAGGGATGGCCTGTTTAACACAC